AATTGCTTCCATTTCTGAAAAATTTTGTATTTCTTTTCATAAGTTATTCGGGATTTAAATGAAAGTAGTTTAGATATGGCGTTTGTCGCCTCGGCCTGAATATCTGTTGGTAATTTACTTATTTCGTTTTGAGTCATTTCTGGCTCCAATTCAATCGGCAATCGACACCATAAAATAATAAATACAAGAAGAAGTGTCAAGTCAATGTTAAATTATGGAAACAGCGTGGCTGCCTGGGTAACTAATTTTCAGATATGGCGGCTGGGACATTTGACATGATTTGACATAACATAGACACTTCATAGACATAACAATTTCAATTTTATGAAATTTATTTCCGTTTCCGGTTTTTAATGGCGGGCTGTTCAGAAGGATTAAATGAGGGTTAATATACTTTTTACTTTTTCTAGTAGTAAATAATACAACAAAATTACTCAAAAATATTTATTTGGAATTTAGAACAATGTAAATATGCAAATCAACACGATTAAAGAGCTATAAACCCATAAACTACTGTATCAATATAAAAAAAAATATTTAAATAACATCAGAGATGCTGTGTTAAAGTGAATCAGTAAAGTAACAGTGCACTGACTTACAGAAAATTGAAGATAAATAAATGTTTCCACAGCTTCACGGGCGTAAAACTAACTGGAAGCAGGAAAAAGACAACAGGAACCCACGCAAAACCTGGAATCAAAAAAAAAAATATGTAAAAAAAAACATAAATATAGGTACATAAGACTTTTGTGAATTAAATCAAACAGGACTTGAACGAAAATAAAATGAATAAAAAATATGATACATATACATCTAATACCTCATTTGTATTTTAAAAATAATCTACATACATATCATTATTGCTATGAAAATACATAATAGGTACTTATGTGATATGTAATTACGCATTTCTGTTCATCTTGTAGATAATTAATGTAAGCTAATAATAGTTCAATAATCATAATTTACCTTGTGTAACTTGCTTTCAATTGCTCAAAATCACCGATCAGTCTTTAAAGTAGAGATACGGAAAAATCCTTGGTAAAGAATATCCCAAGATCCTTGGATCTAAAGCTAAAAAAATATAAAAACAGTTAATTTATTATACCTATTTTTACATATAATATGACCCATACCTACTACACGCAGAAACGTCGATTTCATAATTTTCTTCATGTAATTAATATCATATATACTTTATTAAAGTGTTAACAAGGAACTTTATATCAAAAAACATCTTTGACTTATAAATTTCAGCCGAAATATCATAAACAAACTTCCAATCAAATCTAAACGACAAAAATTAAAATGGCGCCCGACCTTGCCAGAGGCCTCGGGAGTTGACACATGGCTGACACACAGACAAAAGAAGAGGGCGCCGACGTGCATGAAAATGTTCCGTAACAGAAATTGACAGAAATCATATAGAAATATTCAGATTTTTGTCTAGGACAGTCTAGAAGGCCATGCTTTCTGCCTGGGTAGGATCGCGCCAGAACTGTTTCCAATTTTCCGGTTTACTGTCACCCCCCTGGCCTCGGGAGCTGACGCTGACACACAGACAAAAGACAAAAGAACAGGACGCCGACGTGCATAAAAATTTTCCGTAGCAGAAATTGACAGAAATCGTATAGAAATATTCAGATTTTTGTCTAGGACAGTCTAGAAGGCTATGCTTTCTGCCTGGGTAGAACCGCGCCACAACTGTTTCCAATTTTCCGGTTTACTGTCACCCCCCTGGATGAAACTGCCATTTGAATTTTGGAAACACGGCGGAGTTTCTGCCAGTAGAGGGATAGATGGCGCTGCGTAGAAATTTCATCTAAAGTCCCTAGATATTCATCTAGGGACTTTAATTTCATCATGATTTTATCAAGTCATCCACAGAGTGTGGTTTAATTAACAATTCGTTTGATTCTCTGTGGAGTAATTGGAGTAGTTGGAGTAGTTGGAGTAGTTGAAAAATATAAATATTTATATAAAATGTTGATAATTTAACAGTGATGTGCTTTGTTACCCTATGAATAAACATTGATATGAAGTTGCTTTCAAGTTGCTTTCGCCGGAAACAATTATAATTAAATAATTTAATAAAAATTTAATTTCTAAGTGACCCGGATCAGTTAGATTAGTAAAATAAATTGAAAAATAAACGTCATTCCATATTTGGCAATGTCTGTCAGTTTCTGTGAAGTGGAAGTGAATTGTGATTTGTTTTTATGGGAATATTTTACGGATTTTTGCGAATTTAGAGTATTTTGGACGATAGGATTGTGAAATTTAAAAGCCAAGTAGTTTAATATATAAGATTAATTAATCCCTGTGATAATTTTTATGAAATTTCTCATAATCAAAACAAATTCTTTCAACAAAATGGCTGTCTCAGAAATTTGGAAGATCATTAATTTTAAAGTTTTATTTAAGTGTATTTATATCGAATCAAGAATTTGTATAACATATTAAAAGCTTAATTTTAAAGGTTGTGCAGTAATTTATGTAAGTGTACGCTTTTAGATAAATATTAAATATACAAATTTGCAAAGACAAACAAGTAATTTTAAAAAGATCATTTATTTATTTAAACGAGTATAATCATTAATCATTAGGTTGAAAATATATTTGTATTTACTTATTTATATATTTTCTATACCCTTGTATTATTTATAAGCCCTATATGTCCTGTTTTATTTGAAAAAAAAATGCTTCGAGTCATCGAGAATAGATTTAATAACAATTTTGTCCCTTGGCTTTGTGTATTATATAATGTGAATTGTAAGATGTTTCTATTTGAATAGGTCATTAAAGTTGAGATTAAAGTTATACCAAATTATATTCACGGTAACTATATGTCTTTTATATAATGAATTATTTATTTATAATTTATAACCTTTTTTATAATTACTTATAACTGATTGTATAAATTCTGATAACTTTTATATATACTTGTATAGTGTTGAATGTGTTATATGTAATTTTATTAACAATGTTATAATAAAATAATCAAGTTACAAATTTTTCGTGTTTTATTCTAATTTCAGGGATAATTTCAACCTAGATTATTAATTTATTTGTATCAAAATACATTATTTTTATTTTGTAAAATGTTTTGTTACAAATAAGTTCATAATCTAGATTGAAATTACCAAATATAAGTAAAAAACTTATGAACTGGCAGTAAAGGTCCATTTAAAAATATGGCGCGAACTTTTAGTTCTGCCAGTAGCCCGCTTGGATCGCGTCGAGCGCGTGTTTCCAGGCTTTAACATAGGAGTTTTCATTTCTTTCAGTTAGTTATTCTATGCTGACAACTAAAGAGACAGCTTTATTTATTTGTCAAATTACATAGAAACCAACGCCAACCCAGCACAATAATTTTTCTACTCGTAATAAATTCCTTGAAATAATAATTTCTGAATATTTTTTAAAACGTAACTGGCTATGGAAAAAAATATTGTTTTATACACGACGATAAAATTGCATTATCGTCTTGTATAAAAAATAACTATTTTTATTTTTATTTTTAGAATGTTCACAAATTATACCTCCTAACACTTTTAAAATTATAAAATAATAAATTTTTCGTATGCTCGCTGTTTAAACCCGTGTATTTGTATATACTAGTTGTTTACGATATTGTTCGATGATAGCAGCACCGGCGGAGAATGCACACGGAGAATGAGTACATCGTATTTAGTCTACAATACCCTCAGAATGATATTTATTGATTAAATCAACTTATGGGAAATGTATTGATTCAGTCTATAATAAGGTGATAATAATCAAGTCAAAACAATTTAACATGTTAATCGATATTTTTCCTTTGTATTGTACAAAATTTAAAAATAAAGTTACATATCAGCGTATATGGAAAATCAGGCATTACATGACTTGCTATTATATACTGGGGCTGTAAAAAAACTTCATTAAGAGTAAATGAACCACAAATTGAGTCAATCAATTATGTTGAGTTTTTCAAAAATAGTACTGAAGCATTATGTAATTTTTACATAAAAAGTCTGAATAAGCTTTAGAAAACATTTATTTGGGATAAACTTCAGTAAAGAAAAAATTGGTCAAAGGCGAATCGGACTCGCGCACGAAGTCTTCATAACTAATTAGTATACGGTTATCATTTTCTTATTAACAAAATTTCTACTAATATTTCTTCTGATATTAAATGGGTAGATAATTTTCGTTTGGTACAATAAGGTTTTTCCTATTTATCTGCTTTAATTAATAAATAATTATACTGTACTGTTTTATTATTTATCTGCTGTAGTTATCATTAATATGCTAGAATTAATAATTATTTGTTATTGAACTTTACCATAGTAGATAAAAAATATATAAGATAGATAAAACTATGAATTTTTCCTATTATAATAGAAAATAATTACCAAGCCGCCTACCTCAAATTAAATCCTAAAATTGGCTTAGAATTTAATAAGCAATGTTTATTAAAAGGAATGACCTGGATAAAGCTATGCGATTAAAACAGGTAAACTTAATAGCTTCTGAAATTCCAAAGAAAATTATCACTAATGGAAAGCTTCATAAAGTCTTAGTTCGTTATTGTTAAAGCTGGATTAAACTTAAACCTTTCTTCGTATTAATAAATTTAATTGTTTAAATAATATTATCTCAGGATCAAAATGTGTCTTAAGGCCCCCACAGACGCGCAGTTTTTTTCGCACAGGTCGCCTGCTTGCAATTTAACGTCGCTATTTTCTTTCAAACAAACAAAACTTATTGAAAAATGGATTTTTACTTATTGACGTTTAAAGCTACTATGCATAACTAGCTAACATAACTAGTGACTAAAGCAGGTCGTTAGAATCGCAATAAATTTGACCAGTAATTACAGGAAATTTAATTTTTTCGCCAGTTTCAATGGACTGTAAACCTGAGTATATGGTAGTGTACATATTGTGTCTCTCAATACAGAATTTACTAGAAATTACTAACTTTACTAAACTAGAATCAAAATTTACGGTACTCACCTACGAAAATCTCTACTCCAACAAGCATAAATAACTGGATTCATGCTGGAATTGATCCATCCCAGCCACGTCACAACAGCCAGAACGATCTTCTCGTGCCAGATACACTGCAGACAAAATCCAGAGAGCAAATTCACCACGAAAAACGGCAACCAACACACTATGAACACTCCCATTACAATCCCCAGTGTTTTAGCTGCCTTCTTCTCCTTAGCAAACTTCGCCAACTTCCTGCTCAAGGAGAAGTTCTTACTGTGAGCACCCAATCGCGTTGAGGGTATCCTGTTCAAGCCGTTATTAGCCAGCGCAGTCAAAGGCTCGTCCTCCTGAGTATTGTACAGGTTTCTGTTATCGTTTTGAACATTTTTACCTGTTCCACCTCGGTGAATCCTTAGTGTCAGCTCCAATTCGCCTGCTCCAATCAGTATTTGCTTTGTTCCAAGCCTCAGGCTTTTGGTTTGAGCCACAGCGGCTCGATAGATGCGGTAATAGGTGAAAACCATCACGAAAAGTGGCAGATAGAATGAAATAGTTGAAGAAAATATCAGGTAGCCAAGGTGCTCAGTGAACGGGCACTTGTACTTTGGAATAGGCTCAGTTCTTACAGCCCTCCACCATACTATAGCCGGGAATGAGATAGCACTGGAACAAATCCAAACCGCTGCGATCAGTACTACTGATCTAAGTCGAGTCATACGCATTGGGTAGGCTATGGGGTCAGTTATAGCCCAGTATCTGTCAAGACTTATCACGCACAGGTTCAGGATTGAAGCTGTTGAGAATAGAACATCTAGAGATCTCCAAATATCGCACCAATCAGGTCCAAAGAACCATGTATGCCCTAGTACTTCATAAAGAGCACTAAAGGGCATTACAACTAATCCTACCAAACAATCTGCTACGGCTAGTGAAGTTATAAAATAGTTCGTAGGTGTATGGAGATATCTTTCGCGGATTACAGCCATGATAACCAGCATGTTTCCGAAAACTGTGCACAGAGAGAAAAGGAGTAGTAACGAGACTACTACAGCTCTGTCTTGGATGAGATCGGACCATTTTTCCCAGCCTTCAATGTCGAAATCGGTGATGTTCAATGTTAGGTTGTCGTAGGTCCAATTGAACCAGTCAGACTCGAGGTAGAGGTCGCTGCGGTTCATTCTGGAGAGCTGGAGGTGTCAGATGTCATTTCTGGAACAAGAAAAATGATGAGTAGGTATGTTTTGTTGAAGGAGTTGTATAATATTTTGAAGGCATATGAGGGGTTCAAAAGTGAACTGGATCAAGTCCTAGAAGATAAATAATTAAGGAGAAAATAAGAGTTCTTATTTTTTTATTATCGTTTGAATAATACTGTGTGTTGCATGACCAAATCCCATGTAAATTTTAAAAATGATTATAAAAGCTACCCATTTTATTTGAGGAAAAACTTAAATGAAACTTATTAAAGGACTCTTTACCTGCAAGCAAACTGTTCATTTTGAATAATTTATATTAATTCGATTTTGAGTTATGAGAGATATAGAATACTATATACCACATTCTGCTTAAAATTCTATCAATTTTATTCTATAAAATTGTACTTTTCCAACTAAATGAAGAGTGACAAATTAAAGTAACTACAATGAAACTAACTTAGTGGATTTTAATATTAAATGTTTCATCGGTTTGATACGAGTAATAAATGATTTAATATGGCATTGGAGTTGCCTAAATTACTCGAAAATCAATCTGAAGGCGACCTTCAAACCGAGTTACAATCATGCAGACTACTATATGCTATTTGTGGAATGTTTTGAATAAAATATTGAGCTGTGGCAATATAATGTGAGCGCCATATAATTACTTAAAACTATTACCAAATATATAATTTATTCCAATTCCGAATATACCCATGTCATGTAATATACAGGGTAGCCCATCGAAAACGTTCCGCAAGGCATAACATCCAGGGTAATTTTTTTTTCAGAAAATTGAAAAACACGTCAATTTTGTTTGTGAGGCGGACAGCTTTTACCCCAAAAATTATTGCAAAATCTTCAACCCTCTAAGCGGGGGTGTCATCCCCGATTTTTTTCAAATGGAAAGGGGGGTCAGATACTAATTAATTACATACTTAATTGTGTTCGTTAATAAATTATTCTAAATAAATAAGGATTTGAGTCAGAAATCAATATAATAATAAGTTATGAAAATGAACGTCTCTGTTGTTATAAATAAGCATTTGTCAAAAAATTAAATATCATTTTTAAGGTGTTAGTTTTTTTACCACACTGTCTAATACACATAAATAATTCAGTTTTTTAATATTTGCAGCAATTATTATTAATTAACGCAAACAGTCAATTAATGTAGTTTGAATACTGGAATCATATTAATTGATCCTCTTTAACAAATATTTAAACAGTTTTTTTTATTTTTTTAATGAAATGAACGAACTATATTGACAATATTAGTATCTGTATTTTTTAAAAATTTCGTACATCTTAAAAAATAATCTAAAATGTCAGTATTCCATGGATATATTGATAAATGAGTTCCAAATTACAAGGAAATGCATTTTCTACGGAAGCTTGAAGAGATAGGTAAAAAATGGTATAATACAATTTGATAGATAATTAAATTGTGCATCTGATTCTCATAAAATATACAGGGTGTTCCATTTAAATTAAACAAGTTTTTGCCGTTTAAAGCTAATAGATATTTAAAATATATATTTAGACACTCTGTATAAGGTAGTAAAATTTTTATTATTGCAACACAATAACTGATCAATAAATAAACTTTAGTAAATATTTAGTATTAAAAACTTTGATACCCTCGGAGAAATGAAACCTTAAAATTTATACTGCAATTTCACAAAATTGAAAATATTTCAAAAACGGTAAGGTTTAAGTGTAATAAACCTTAATCAAATTTATCTTTATTTTAATCGTAGAAACTAAAAATGCAATAATATATAGGGTGTTCCATTTAAAAAAATACAACTTTGATATTTTTTTTTATTTGGGACACTCTGTATATTGTAAAAATATTTTTAAATTGTAGGTCTAATAGTCCTTCAACAAACCCAATGCTTTCAATTTACCTATATATACTCCCAAAATTTAATTTCGATATTAACTGCCATTCTCCTTGGAGCCTCCGTGTCGTAAGAGAAGCGCCACCCTGTACAGGGTGTCTTAAAACTGAGTCTTTTGGATTTAAAAAATAGATCTATAGTGGGTTAGAGAAGTATTCCTTGTCCTTCTAATAATACTTTTCGTGATTAACTGAGCAAAAAGAAAAAAACTTATTTTTCATCGTAATCCTAAAATTAGCATTACCATTTAACAACGGCAACGTTTTTTTCGCTAAAGCGTATTTTTACAGGGATTTCTACATACAGCTACCGTTTAGTATACATCTAAATATTTTATCATACATATTAAGTAGGTTTCTCGACGGTATTAACGAGTACCGAGCACAAACCCGGGTCTTTTGTCATGCAAACCGCGGCACAGAGTCGAAAACCCACTCGGCGGCAGCTAGGAAATATAAAAGGCTTGCCGGGGATTCAATTTTCTTGTTTATCGCTGCTTAAGCCAGCTATATGGAGATATAGAATCGTCGTGGAATATCAAGCACGGTAAATAATAATAAATAAATAAAAACATAGTAAGATGCGCTTCTATTAGAACATACACTCTTTGAATAAAAATGTTAACAGTCCATTTCACTATAAAACTGGCTAGGTATTTTTACACAAATAAAGAAGGAAATTATAGATAAAGGATTGTACTGTATCAGTATAGTAGCACATTTTTAGGTAACTTCTTTATTTTTAAGATTTTGACGGCCAAACATTAAAAAAATATTTATTATGTTTGGATTAAATTTTCTCGAAAATAAAGACATAATTTAACATTCCGTTACAATACGGCAATAGATTGAAGTTTTGTGAAAAAATCCCACTTCTGATGTACGAGTTCCCTCAAATTCTACCACGGTTTCTTATTGGGTACTGAATATTTTCGTATTATTATGGTGCGTCCAGACCTGTGGAGTCGAGTGCGAGACGAGCGCGAGACATTTTAAATTTGCGGTGTTTTTCAAAGGGTGGAGGGGTCTCGCAAGAGCCTCGCGACCGTCTCGCGAGACAACCCACAAAAATCTACAGAAATCTAACATTTCTTTAAACAAATTGAAATATTACAAAATCTGTTATTTTAGATATATAGGTAATATGATATGCAAAAAAATTTACCGAATTGTACGTAGAATCTAATAATAAAATTAAAAAAATAGGGTATTCCCATTAAAACATACGAAACGTTGAACACATATACCTGGGCATACTAGGCTTTGCCTTAAGCTGAACATCGACAAAACTAAAATCATCTGTACTCCCCCGGAAGATTACAACAATGCTATAAAAATCGGAGAAGAACTATTGGAAAATGCCTCGGAATTCAATTACCTCAGCAGTATGATTTCGAAAAAGGCCAGTATCGACTCTGAATTCTATGACGAGTCGTTTTTGGAGTAAGATTGAAAAATAAAACACTTAAAACATAATTCCTAATCATTGTAATGCTTGTTTTTGCCTCCTATAATCATTAATACTTACCACAAGAAAAACAAACCCATTTTTCTTAGACAGATAAGCAGAAAAAAATATGTTTTTGACTATATCAGCGAGGAATTCTTTTTTTTTTTTCGAGTTTTGGTATCTCTTTATTGGTTCATTTATCAAAATTCGTACGTGCCTAGCACCCGTAATATTCTTTCTTTTCTTTTTTTATTTCCTCCACTCTTTTTTTATTGGCCAGTAATATGGTTAAATCGAACAGTATATTGTTTCCCTGTCATCGATCCAACTATAGAGACACACTTCCTGGATACTATTATTATTTTTTCATCCAGACAACTTTGATTTCCAAATCAATATTTATGAAAAGGGTTCATAAAAAGGCTCATTTTAGGCCTTTTTCTTTGTTATGTTTGAGTTATAGGAAACGTAGGAATGTACAGTTTAATAAAACATGTCGATATTGAACTTGAATTCCAATCTTCATCATCATCATCCTTTTCAACTTATTCCACCATTTTCAATTATAGTGTAGCCTTCCTCATATATTTAGATATTTTTACTGTAGCTAATAAAAAAAATTCTTTGCCTTGGATACAGATACCGCCACGTTTTGGAAATATCTCAAAACAAAACAAACTTGAACGAGGCAACAAAAACTCTTGGTAATTCCTAGCATATTTCGTTGCATCGAGCTCTTGTAACACGTTTTGTATTAATTAAAAATGTATCGATATTTTGAAGTATCGATAATTTTGTACCTTCCTAAGGAAACCCCTTCTGACATTTACACTACGCTTTTATTATCACTTTTAGCGTTGAAAAAGTATTTTCGTCGATATATTCAACATATTAGTCCAAAATTAAGGGTCTTCATATCAAATTCATTTATCTAAAATTAACAAAAAATATAGTAATGTATTGTGGCGGTTATATTTTGTATACAAACACACCTGAGTTAGAGAAATTAATGATATATGCTTTGTAAAAGTCACATCAGACAGCCCACCATTTATTTTGGTTTGTTTTGTTTGGTTTAGACAAGAATATAACTCTTAATCCGTTTGTATGTATAAGATATTACCACAGAGTTGAAGTAAAATTTATTATTTTCTTTGACGTTTGAAAATAAAGTCATTATTTTTTATTAAAAATGATACTTTGTTTTTTATTAAAAGCGCGTTGTTACGAGTCATATAAATGGTCAGAAGAAAATACGGTGATTTTTTTTGTTTTTTTTTATATTTTTTTAGTTTTTTTATTTATTTTGTGTCTTTTTTTATTTTTGTTTTTTATTACTTATTTTTTTGTAATTTTTAAGATCTTCTAACTGTAGCTTAAGTATTAAGACTATAATAACCTTCAATCAACATCAAATATCTAAAAAAACGCAGAGGGGTGCCACGAAAATTTAAATAACGGAAAATTCGAGAAAATAACTTCATTAAAATTTCTCTAGATTTTAATTAAAGAGTGGCATTATCATTTTTATTGGCTTTCGGCTCAAGGAAAAGTTTAAAATATAATTGAAAAATGAATTTTCCTGCTTTTTTCAGGTTTTATCGAGGGTTTTATAGTGATTTTTGTTGATTAGAAAAAAGAACATGTTACTAAAATAATG